GTGGAAAAGAAAATCTGTAAATGGATTATTAACGAAGCGAGTATAAAGAGTATAAGGAAAATAAGGTCATAGTATATGTCTTTTTTTTTTGCGAACTCAACTTTTATTCTGGTTATATTGGTTTAGCCCCTTTCTGCCCAAGTGGCTTGTTAAATCAACAGCTAAAAACTAAGGCGGATTAAGCAGGGTTTTAAAGTTTGTATAGATTGTAAATAAGTAAATATGACCTGTCGTGATGGTAAATGTTTAAATGGTGGTGACTTGTTGGGATGAACCTGTCGAAACGACAGCCATGAGGGAAATTTCAAGTTAGAAATTTGAAAGATAAGAAAATATTACAATAACTCTAGCAACTAGGAATTGATCTCAGAAAGGCTGCGTAGGTTACTCTATAACAGAAGAGGCAATACCCGTATATGTTCTTCATAGTATTAAAATTATACAAAAAGAACAAAATTTACACTATCCATACTATCCATGAATAATACTTCCATTTGTTTAGAATTATTATTATATAATGTAGGTATTCTCACGTAACGAAAACTGAAAATAAAGGTTCCTAATAGATTTGTCTAAAAATTTGATATAGATCATGCAAAAAAAAAATACTGTAGAACATTAGATCTCGCTTAATTAAAAAATCAAATTTAATATAACAACGAACTTATTAAGTGTCGCGGATGACACCGAATTTGAAAATATCTATATAGTAAACTTTGACGAAATCTACTTTTTTATTAACAACTTTAACCTTAAATTCTAAGCCAACCCTAAAAAAAAAAAAAATTCTCTGAAAAAATAGGTCAAAGCTTCTGCATCATCCGATTTCTATTCCTCATATTTTATGATAAGCATAGCCACTGCATCAATTGTCACATGAGAAAAAATATACTAGATTGAACCTGTTGCTCACAACGTGAGAAAGAGAAATCATTGTATTATAAAGAAATGATATTGCCGTGCATTGTATTGTATTAGAGAAAACAAGAAAGGGTGATTCAATATTATTTTCCTTCATTGATTAAATAGACTATATCAATTACCAGTTTGTAGGTATTATGTATATTTCGTTCATTAAATCAAATTTTCATCTAATAAAATATATAAATCTACATATTTATAAATCCGGATTAAAAAAAATATTTATATAGATTTCCGGATCCGTACACTATCTCCGCCAATATTGTGCAAATTTATGAATAGTTTCAATAACTTGCGGAAATAGTGCACTTACTGAATCGTTAATTAAATTTTGGAAATATTTAATAGCTTCTTCCTCTGTTAAATCTAATCGAAATTTCTCTTGAACCTTTAACAATAATAACAATAATAATGTAATAGTGATTAGCATAAACGAGCTATACTTAAATTGATGAAATAAACAACAAAAAAGACTTACTTTCCAAACTGCTTTATCAGGTTCAATTTTAATATCAGTTATATTCGCGTCAACCATTAGCGCTAACAAATTAAGAATTAGATTTGCGCTTTTGCGCAAAATATTAAACGCTATATAACAATAGCTTTTAAATCTCTGATAATGAATTGAATTTGCGCCACCCATTGCTTCCACCATTTCTTTACATAATTTCATAGGTGGCGGAAATGGTTTTGGATCTCGTCCCAAGATAAATCCAAAATCTACATGGAATAAATTGCCTACAAAGATGAAACAATATTAACATGTATAATTTAATAAATAATTAATTACTGAGAATATTGTCAAAACAATACAAGGTTAATTTCTTACCATCAGGAGAAAGTAGCAGGTTGTCCAGGTGACGGTCTCCAACTCCAAGCAAATATGTAATAACACAGTATCCAGCTATAAAAAAAGCGTGTGCAACAATTAATTTGTGGTATCTAAGATATTACACTTATGAAAAGGATATATACCACAACTTTTCACGTAAGTATCCATTACAGCAGGACTGACTCCGTATGTTCCAACTGCTTTCTCTTCTGGGTGATGTGCTTTCAAAAACTGTAGCAAACTACCATTATATTCACTCAAAACATTTGCTAATGATGATGATGTGATAAATTGCATCACACCATGATCTGAACCAGTGGGAAGAACTTTATAGGGAGTCAATTTGAGATCTAAATTCTCTTTTCTCAAAAGCCTATCCATAAGCGTAATGATTTGAATGACAAGTTGATCTTGACGAAGATCATCACCAGTTTTAAATATAACCTAACGAAATAGAAATATAAATCCCACTTTCAACATATAATAAAAGGTAAGATTCTTTTGTTTATTCTCTTTTTTTATTCTTACCGGATACTCTCCACCATCCACTAGTGTAAAAGTAAGTCTTAACGGGAATAA